GCCTGAGGGGAGGGAAACAGGCCCCTCCGAGGAACTGCTCCCTTGAAGCGGCTTCCTCAAGTCGCCAAGCGACGGCTCCCCTGACTCCCAACATTTCCCCCTCCCTCCGCACGAGTATCGGGTTAATTTTAAGCCCAGCGTGTGGCTGCAGAAGAAGTCGCTTCAGAGGGGTCTGCTTCGCGGCTACCCACAACCGAGCTGGCCTTTTTAAGGGACCCCGGCCCCTGGCCAGAGATGAACTCTGGCTACTGTAAGGGGAATCTTAGGTATCTTCATTGGAAGTCCCGACGTGTACTTTCGCCCGCTTAATCCCTCTTCCGGAACAGAAACTCCCCCCCTCCGCTTCCCACCACGTTGAAAATAATCGGAATTAGTTTCGTATGCTAAAAATGCAAGCTGGAGTCGGAAAGCAAGCAGCATGCAAGCGTGGCCGCAGCCGTGAAAAAAAAGGAAGCAGGATTGCACAAAGTCATTCTAGACTTGGGCGGTTTATACGACGATTATTTCAGTTCTGAAACACAGGGCCAAAATGGAATAGCAGCAGAAGGACGGAAGCAGGGAGAAATCTTTCCAGCTTTGATATATACCTGACTTGTATGAACAAAAACCAAGGATCTTTTGCTAACCGCAGTTTTAAAAAGAAAGAGCACCTTCACTTGAACGTTTGTTACACTGGTTACAGCACCAACATCAAAAATACAATGGAGTTTCCTTCTCATGTCCAGATTCGTAATACTAAAGACAATTATTTTGTTGTAGGAAAGGATCTAATCATTTATTGCAAACGTAGTTAATAAAATGAACACTTGTAAGTATTTGCATGTCTGGACAGCTAGCTTTATATTTTTAAAGAGAGGGGGGAAATGATGCACCAGGCAGCATTAGTTCCAGTGGAACCTAAGATGTTGCTGTGTTGAGTGGAAGCCTGCATAGTGCCCCATTATTCCCTGCTGCTCTCCTGGTGGCCCTTCAGGGCCTCACTGGACTGTGTGGGGCTCTGGACTTCATTCCCCTGGTCAAGGCCTAGCTGCACCACTGGCAACCACAGTAGCTGCACTATACAGTACATAACAAGAAGAGAAGTTGCAACTGACTTAAAACTAGCTAAACTAGCTTTGTTTGTTTCTACCTCCCCAAAACTCAATTTTTAAAAGGGGGGGGGAACCACACCTTCGTTGGTGCCTTCCTTACGACAATTTGTAGAGAATAAATGGCTGTGGTGGACCACCAGTCCGTGAAGTTGCTCCTGCCATCCTAGGGCACCAATAAAGAATTTTTGCATACCTGGCCGTGTTGGTGATCTGCCTAAAACAAGGATCACAAGGTTCTTCAGATATTGTGAAAGAGCAAACTCTCATCAACTCTAGCTCACGTAGTCACTGAGATGTGAGCTGCATCCCAACAGCATTTTGAAGTAATGTACATGTTCTCTACCCTTATCTTGAAGCACCGTGTAAACAGCATTATAGGGTTTAACAAACCAGCATTACCTTTTCTTAATCTCTGTCGGTGTGTTTCTCAAACAGGCAAATTTATCTGCAGTATTGTGGTCAGAGGCCTCAGTTCTGCAGAGCTGCATCAATCTACAGTACTGTATCAGTTTTGCCAATTTGAACTGTGTGTTTAGAGAATGAGGGACAAACTGTCCATCTTCTGAACACAGCTCTCTGGTGAAAATGAAGTTTAAGTCTCCTAAACAACTAGCAGGTTTTTTTTTTTTCAGATCAAAATTATTGCACAGCAGTCACCATCTACTTGCCTTGCTCCTCTCTCTCCATGCAAGTGTGCAGAGTGCAGGCTGAACCCTGAGGGAAAGCAAAGCAGAAGCTGGGACAAGAGCAGGGAAATGGTGGGTCCAGTCAATAAGACAAGTATTTCAGGCATCTTCCCAAGCCTGGATGAAAGAGCTGAGGAACACTTCCCCTAGGAGAGCTCTAATCAGTCTACCCAGTACAAAAACAGTTTCATATAGCCAAAATATTAAGGATGAACTGTGTATTTGGATACTTGAGTTAAAGCAACAGTATGTAAATATTTAGAGTACAGTATAGACAGAATCACTCAGTAGCACCAATGTAGGGCACTTAGAGGGAGACAGAGTGGATCCAAAGGAACTTTGGATATTTCTTAGTAAAAAGAAAATTTTGTGGATAATGCTCTTAAGACATTTATACTGTATACTGTACTGGGAAGCCAGGGGAAAGCAAACACTGTACAGTTGCTTTATACAGTAGTTCACAGTGAAGTAAGTCCCTCCACTGCTTTTCTTCTCCTAGCTCTTATATAGAGATCACAGCAAACACTTTCTTTTAAAGACATTCTTTATTTTTATATACAAGATTTTTTTAAACCTTTAAAAATTACATATGCAGAATGCCAGCTTAGAGACAGCCAGAAGCTTCCCAGTTCACATGGCTGACTCTTGCCCTTTTAATATTTCAGATGAGGTGGGGAGGGGAGAAATTAGGAAAGGAAAGGAAAGTACAGGCAGGATGACAGATCAACATCCGTTATGAGTAACAGTGTTCAGATACATTAAGCCTGCAGTTCTGAGCCTACTAACCTGGAAGCAATCCCCACTGAACTTAATGTGATTTACTTCTGAGTAGACACATTTAGAATTGCACCATAAATCAAGCAGATCTGTATTTAGGCCACTGCTTATCAACAACTGCACCAGTACAGCTTGACGTTTCATTTGCCAGTGAGCCAGACCCCCGATCATAATCTGCTAATATTTACCAACATCACACATGAACATCTAGCCTTTTAACTGTTCTGTATTATCTCCCTATTTTTAATGGTGTTAAAATAGAAGAGTAGCCCAAATAATCAAAAGTGTATGTATATAAGGAGTGTTTAAATAAATAGCCTGAACACAGCACTGAAAAAGCATCCTTGTTGACTGGGCCCTTACTCTCTTAGATTTACAAGGTTTACATCCAATTTATTTATGGCTTGTAAAAATACAGAAAAGTTACTAAAAATGCATTAATTATTCCACACTGAAAGTGAATATACTGAAATAATGAGAGGCAATATTAAAATATTAGCATCTAGATTACTACCTCATTAAACTAGATGATTGATGCCATTTTTTAAAGAGGTTGAGGCACCTTTTTAGGTAACATCTCTATTTTCAGCAACCCAGATTACAGGATTTTGCCCTTGATGGGAGTACTACAGTATTCCTCACTGTAATCCTGCAAAAAAGGAGGCCTACTGCAGTTTACTTTTGTATTAGACTGCATGGCCAGCCTTTCAGAAACTGGAAATTCAGTGCCGCATATTAATAAGTGTAATGGGGGGGGGGAGGGAAATGTGTGACTGTTTTAATTACCTTCTGTTCTTGACTCTGGATAGTAAACAAACTGCATTTGTGGGACAGCTAAGCAGAGGCAGTACGGCTGTGGGACTTTGCTGCCAAGTAAACATGCACAGGATTGAACTGTAAGAGCTGGCTCACATTTGCATGTGTATCTCACAAACATTTCAAGTAATTATTTTCATTTGAAGCATTCAGCAGCCAGGTGACGAACAGACCATACAGTATCTTATAGAGAAAATTCATGGTTTTAATTGCTAGTATGAATCAGTCACAGAACGAACTAAGTGTTATGGGTATTTTATGAAAAAGATGACCCAAGCAGACTTCCAGAGAACTGATTTGGGGCTGAGTGCTGGCTTGCACATTGGAAAAAGAAGCATTCTGTCAGAACAGTGTGTTTGGTTAGCACATATGCATTCATTAATAACCAAGTGCCAAATTATGTTTTTTTAAAACTATAATACCTGTTGCATATAGAATGGCAACAGTACTTTTTACCTATACCACCTTTCCTCCAAAACAAGTACTCAACAGTTACCGACTCTTGCTGTAACTAGATTGCAACAACTAGTTCAACATATTATTGGGTAATATGTTATAATTAAGTACCTCTCATTATATATGTGACTCAAGTCAATCTGGTGACTGATGCTAGCAAGAACACATGCTAGATCAGACCAGAGGTCTACCTGATCTAGCATTGTGTTCCCACCATTGGCCAACCAGATGCCTCTGGGGAAGTTCAAAAGTAGGAAGAGTACAATTACTGTATGCCCCTCCACTCATCAGTTTCACAAGGCCTTGGCTTATTTTATCTGAAGAAATTAAGAGTCAATTGAAACCAGATTTTAAGAGCTGAGATTAATAAACAACACAAACAATGAGCTACTATTTCTCTACTATAGAGATACTGCTCAAGAAGTTGAGCAGGGACGTCACTGTATGTAGTAAAATCATTTAAATGCCACAAGGTGGATAAGCAAATACTGTAACTGCAATTTGTTGCATGTCTAAATAAAAGGACACTGCAACTAATTCATGAAAACCTCAGCCTCTTTATGCTGAACTGGATCAGGATCATTTCTATGGCAATGACTTCCCCTCATGACGGTACTTACAAAGGGACTGAATACAGACTGTGGTTCCGCAACTCAAGTAGTAATGGGAAATCAAATACAGTATCAGTGGACACAGGAAGTTTGGACGGCCTGGCTCTATGTATTCTGTCACTGACTTCTCTCTGTAAAAACCGGACTGTGGGTTTTTAAAAATCTGTTCCAAAGACTATCAAACAATGTGAAGAAGTTGTAGTGTTCCCCCTCAGTCTTTCTGATGCAAAAGAGCGAAACAAGGGCCATGTTCAAATTACCAGCAATTACACCAGGAATGGAAAAATCTAATTTTAAGCTGCTACTTTAAAAGAGAACAAAAGTACTTGCTTTAAATCATTAAATACAAATTAGATAATTAGTTTTAATGATGCTAGGGAAGCAAGGATAGTAATTTCATTCAGCTGCTGCTTTCCAGTAAATAACCATGCAAGCCACAATTAACTTGAATGACTGTTAACTGTAGTAGTAATTATTCTGCACTCCAAATTCTATTTTTAGGATTGTAAAAATTACAGCAGCAAATTCACCTATACCATAGTTCTCTCTCTGTCTTCATCAGATTTGTTCTTCTTCAAGACTCCGCTTTGCAGAAAAATGCTTATTATCCTTTACTGTAAATAAAAGCACTGAAGAGTAGACCAATATATTATTGGGGGGGGGGCGGCAACAAGCAAGCTGTTGAAAATACCACTGCTCTGTCTTCTTTTCCTTTCTTGCTAACATCATCAAACTTACCTGAATTATGTCAAGAAATGTGTTCCTTGACCTGTGCCCCTTTCAGGGTACTACTGATTATGACAGAGTGGGGAATTAAACATCATTTTCTCCCTCACCCCAGATTACCACTGCACATGAGCTAATTATTTTGTTGGTGTTATGTGCCATCAAGTCACATTGGATTTATGGGGTCTCTAACAAAATGTTCAAGGTACATGAGATATTTAAGGTGTGGTTTTACTGGCTACATCCTATGCCCATTTTCATGGCCAAATGGGGATTTGAACCCAGGTCTCCTGAATCCTAGTGCATCACTGTATCCACTATACCAAACTGATTCTCATTACTATGCCATGCCATTTTTAAAAAATCCCTTCTTGGCACTGTAATTAATTAATAGACATGATGTAGTCTTGCTAGCCCATTATAATTTCTTTTCACATATTTTACTTCAGGGGGAAACAGACCAGGCTTGTGGGATCTTCTAATCCATTCATTGTCCGGCACAATGTTGTGCTAAGGTTGCCTTCTGCTAACTAGTGAGGAACCAAAGCTGGCATCAGATCTACAGCAAACAATAGATCTCAATTCGTCTTCTCTCCAAAGGTTTTAATAAATGTACTCATGCACTCATGCTTACTGGTAAGTCAGTAGGGAGAACCACCATAAGAAGTAAACTTAAATCTGTGGCAAACTGTGATCAGAAACTGAACTTTGAAAGATTTCAAAGTAAACAGAAAAGGAAAAATGGAGGAGCTGCTACACAGCAAACAAGATATTACTATAATGTGGTGGTTTAAAGCATTGGTTCTTAACTTTGTGTTACTCAGGTGTTTTTGAACTGCAACTCCCAGAAACCCCAGCCAGCACGGCTGGTGGTGAAGGCTTCTGGGAGTTGCAGTCCAAAGACACCTGAATAACCCAAGGTTAAGAACCACTGGTTTAAAGCACAAGGACCTAAGAGTATGTTCTCTATACACTGTTTCCATTCATATGAAGTGGCTGAGAAAATTCCAGCTAATTCCAAAACCAATTTCATACTGTTTCAATTGAGAATCATTTTAATCACATCTCCTATGTTACTTTTCAGCAAAATAAATACTTCAAACATCAGGCATTAGAGTATTGCCACTGGTTTCAATGAAAACTCAAGTCTCAAATTGGGAACAACCAAATCAGTATCAGCAGCTGGTGGAGACAGGTTTCCTACTTTCAGTTCTACGGTAGAATAATGGTTCTAAAATTCTAAGTTTCAAATATTCCAAATTCTACACCTGGACTTTATCTCAAACTGCACATGAACTTAATTTGAATATATTACTTCCTTCTTTCATGTGGAATTTAGAATTTTCATTTTATTGAGGGATTGGGTAGGAAAATTAGGGTACAGAAATATCCAAAAACAGATTTGAAGGGACATTAAAAGAAAGGATAGAGGGTATGGGAGCTGTTTGGTAAATGTGCTGTGCAACTGAAGAAATCTTATTGCCTGATACCTGAAATTCAACTCAGATTCCACATCTATTATAAGTACTCCATTAAAACTTTCAAGACGCTTTTAGGTCTATCTTTGCAACCATGTGAGCTAAAAACATTCACAAGTTACTGTATTTCACATTAGAATGCAGCATGATCCTGGGCAAATAGATTCACAGAGGTCTAGCTATAGATAGATGTGTCAATACAAACTGGGTGCAGGATTCAGTACCATAGGAATACGGTCGATGAAAAATCAATTAATGCATCTTCCACTGCAATAGAATCTTATGTTTGTCAAATGGTTTGCTGAGTTGCAAATCTGTTATGTCCTTGAGGCATGATAAGGTCCCAGTGAGATAACTTGGTCAACGCAGGTTTACTTCTAAGCAGCATTTGGATTTCAGCACTCTTTCAAAAAGTATGCATACCAACAAAAAAATAAAGGCTTGTTGCCAGTATTTGTGAGGAAATGAGATTTCAATATACATGAATATTATTCACACAAAGTTTTTTAATCCTGCTCAGAAAAAAAAATGATGCCCAAATCTTCTCTTTAACTAGGAGGGGAGGGGTGGTGTGGTTTGACAGATCCATTTTTAGAAATGAAAGAAGCAGTTTCTCCAGCTGTTGTCACTGAGATCTAATAATGACAAGAATGTATTGCAAAGTAAAATTCACTGTCAATTTGCTATTGATCTGTCCTCTGCTACCACGGAGGCCACTGAATGTCAATTTTCCAGTTGACTGGAGATCAAATGGTAGGATTTTTACTGTGTACATAAAGGCTGATGTATGTATCCTCACACTTCAGCTTTTAGAAAATACCCCAAAAAACAAGCACCGTTATACCCAGGTTACAGTCTTATTCAGACGATGCAAGACATGTAAAGAACATCTCTTACCGGATGGTTCTTCAATTTTTGAATACCATATGAAAAAAGTGAGATCTTAATGAAACTCCGTTTCACAGACAAATGTAAGTTATTGCAACTTAGTTGACAAAAATCTTGACCAAGTGGTAAACAACACTGGGCACTTCTGTCATGATCGTGTAAGAAACAATTCTCAAGTGAATGAAGCTTTCCAAATCTTAAAATGACAGACTGAGAGAAGGTGCTGATCCTCTCCATAATCCCATTTACCAAGAAACAAGGACAAATAATTGATCACTGTCGTTGCCATCATCGTCATCATCAATAATAAAAAGAGGCAAGGGTCTCAAGAGGCACTGGGAATGGCTGCCAGTCTCAAGGGACTGAAGAAAAGTAGAAAATTCAAAACAGAAAAGCTTCAAATCTGGAAACTATTAGTGCACTTTTGTTGATGGTCATTGCTTTGCTCGTGCCATCCTCAAAAGAAAAAGAAAAGGACAAATATCAGGAATCCACATGATCTGGGCAGGGTTCTGCTCACTACAACCATAGTAGCAGCTGCTGCAACTCATTCCTGTTGCTGGGCAGGAAACATGTTCCCTTAGCCTTTGAATCTTTGAACATCATGCTTCACCATTCAACTGCAAAAATACAAGGTCTCTTTCTGACACACACTGCACTAGATTGTTTTGGTCATGTATAAAAATGGAATTTTTAAATTTATTTACATGCTTAAGAGCGCAGTTTTCATCCTCTCTGTTGATTCAAAGGTCTTGATAAATGTAACTGATGCCAGTCTTCTCTCAAGCCTTAAGTGGTCCATGTAAACAAAACACAGCTAAATAAAGTATTTTGTCTTTGTCCTGGAACAGTTTCTATCGATATGCATGATTTCCTGAAAGTGTTGTGTTTGCTAGATGTAAAACAGGCAGGGGGTGAGCTTCTGTATTAAAAACCCAATGATCCAAAGGTAGGAGGTCATCATTCGAGAACAGCAAATACAAATACCTGTAAAGTCAAGAAGAAAAAAAACAAGTTTGAGTGAAAAACAGAAAGGTGCTATCAGCTCCTCCACAAACAAATCTGGAGAGGGGTCTGTATGCATGTGTTTAACACTTCCAGTTTTTTTAGGGGGGGTGGGATCCTGCTTTTGGGGTAAAACAAGGTATGGGAAGTGTACATATTAGGGCTACTGGAGAAAAAAAAGCCAACTCCAACAGGAGCAATTTATCTCAGGGCTTTGGTGGAAAAGAATTTTTATGGTACATGGTTGTTCTAAAATAATGGCCAGAATTCTATTTGGTTTGGACAGCATAAACCTAAAATTGCATATTTTGAGTGCTGTCTGCCACACATTCAGAAAGTACAGTATTAGTATATGTGTTATAAATACAATTTTAAATATCAAGCAGAAGCCAAATGTGTTGTTATTATGTACTGTCAAAGCCTCATAGCTTCCAAGGGATGTTAGATCAAACTCAATTGTATGTCTGAGCATGCAACTGCCAGCCATAGAAGTGCAAACATTGATTGTGAAACTTCCCTTCCCAAAACTGGACGGATCAGGCATGTGCTATTTCACAACAGGATTTACTGAGATACATGTCTGTATCAGGCAATACACACCACTCAGAAATATTTATACAGTAACTTACTGCTTTGAAAATATGATCTTATGAAAAGTAACCAGAGGAAAGTTATGACTAAAACACTTAGAACCACTTCTTTGTTTAAATATGACATGGTCTAGAGCTGATAAAACAGATGTCCAATTGAGGCACTTCTCGAGAGGTTTTTTAATTCAGTTGTTGCTAGCCTTTTGTATGTGGTTTCAAATGCCCTGACATGGAACAGTTTATATGTGTTATAAATACAATTTTAAATATCAAGCAGAAGGCAAATGTGTTGTTATTATGTACTGTCAAAGCCTCATAGCTTCCAAGGGATGTGAGGCGTTCAAGGTTTACCACTGTCACCACCCATCAGTCCCCATGGCTGAGGAATGATCCAAGTTTCTTGAGTTATAATCTGAAACTCTACGGAGAGGTGGCACTTGAAGGCAAATTTATTGGAGACTCAAATTGTGTTATTCAAGCAACTTAAAATTTTGCACTATAGCAATGCTTTGCTATTTTTAGCCATTTGAGAAAACACTGGATTCAGGCATAAATCCATTAATGGACCACCAGGAAACTTACAATACTAAACATTATAGTTAGTAATAAGGCAACTGTCATACATTTTCAGAACCACAAAAGCATTGGCCCTGAAGAGTTCAACTTTTGACTCATCGTTAATTAACATCACCATTTTGTATATTTATTAAACCCATCGCAAAGCGCATACATCGTTAAACGAAGCAATCACTAAGTGAGGCACCACTGTAGTTAGTAATAAGGCAACTGTCATACATTTTCAGAACCACAAAAGCATTGGCCCTGAAGAGTTCAACTTTTGACTCATCGTTAATTAACATCACCATTTTGTATATTTATATGTTAAATACACTGTAGTAGATTACCTTTGGGGGTGTTAGCCTTCTATCAGCTTGTTTGTTCACCTTCTCTATTAGCAGTTTGTTTATTAATCTATTTTACTGGCATTCATTAAAATCAGAGAATGCTATACAAAATGTTTAAAAATGCAAAGTATGAGCACAAGAACAAATTAATTAAGGAGGAATTCTGTAAACCCAGGGGGGGTCACTTTATAGGTTTCACTGTTCTAAGCTTGTTCTCCAATATAATGAAGAAAAACCTGCTTACTTTAGCGTTTCAGCAAGAAAGAAACTTTGCTGTACATCATCGTAGGTAGGAGCTGAAGCATAGACATCCTTGACTCCTGAAAATCCACCACTCACTCGGCAGTATTTGTCAATGGCCTATACAAGGAAGAAAAACATAATTAAAGTTTTGCCTTCCAGTTTGCCTCAGCTGGATCTAATTTTGCTCAATCTTACCAGACAGCTGAATACCAGATAATCATAAATGGAGGGAGTTGGCAGAGAAAAGAAAAGCATCAGTATGTGTGAGAAAGGATTTAATAGTTGTACAGGGGATCCCAGTATAGGCCTTACAAATAGCACTGCATAGTGGCAAATCTTAAACTACAGCCTCAACAGGTAATTAACTTTTTTTCCTCTGTTGAAATATGAAGCAGATTTCTGCATTTCCTCTTTTAAAAGGAACTTTTCTTTGTCCTTTTAAAGCAGGGGTTCCCAAACTTTTTCACCCCGCAGACTGGCTGAGGAAGGCGGGGCACCCCCCCGTGCTTGTGCATATGTGCGAATGATCGTGCGCATGAGGGAAAAGCTGCGTGCTGCTTGTGCGGGTGTGTGCGTTTGCTCATGCGTAAACGGCAGTGCGATGGTCACGGAGGTGCTCATGCACAAGCACAAATGGCGGCATGGCACTCACATGGGCACTCTCTTGTGTGCATGCACAGTGGTGTGGTGCTCATGCGGGTGTGCTGGAACACGCACGTGCGCAAATCAGATGTGCAGGGGATGCGGAAGGTCTGTCGCCGCGGCCTGGTCCAGCTCAGGCCACGGACAGCACGGCGCTCACATGGGCACCCTCGTGTGCATGCACAGTGGTGCAGTGCTCACACGGGTGTGCTGGAACACGCATGTGCGCAAATCAGCTGTGCAGGGGACATGGAAAGGTCCGTGGCCTGGTCCAGCTCAGGCCACAGACCAGCACTGGGCCGTGGACTAGGGGTTGGGGACCTCTGTTTTAAAGGAATGGATCTTAAGTTCAAAGGCAGTATTTTAAGAGTGAGATCACTATTTGTTATGGAATCACTTCTGATAATTATTTCTCTCATAATTCATCTTGAGACTGAAGGATGCCTATGTAATTCATCCAAATTATTTCATGTGATTATTTCTGCAAAATGCTTTTCACATGTTGTAGTGCAAAGAATGAGATGTTTGCCTGTTATCAGGAAGGAACCTGTTTTTCTACTTTATCCCATGAGCAAAGATGAAAGCAATTGTTCCATAAAGTAAAATAAAACAATTTTAATATAACTAACAGCCAAGGTGGTGCAGAAGGTATTGTTCTATTCTGGTACTGGGAGACCTGGGTTCAAACCCCTTTGCCAAGGGATTATGAACCCAGGTGTTCCAGTCAGAGCAGAATGCTTTGCCAAGAGGTTTTGAAATCCTTGTTTGCAAGAAGTGTGAATGACCGTTTGGCTATTTGGACAATGAAGCAAGGTGTGATCTCAAGGAGAGGTAAAATCCAAAGTTCTGGTTTGTAATATTTGAAGGGACATAGAAAGGGCATAGTGTTATGCCCAATGCTCATTTTGTATGGAACAGGCAGTATTTCTCATCCTGATCTCACATGCAGTGAAGAAAAACGGACTGATCCTCCGATATTATAGCAGGCTGTATTATCAACCTAAGGTAACAGTATGTGGAAGTTGAGTCATGGCAACTGGACTTCTTTCTTGCTAGGCTGAAATGTTTCCCTCTAAGAAAAGCTTTATATTCTCCCTGAAGATGTTGCAGAAGAGTTGTGGCTTCATCAGTGGCAACCCATTTCATCTGTCTTGTTGCTCTGCTCAACTCTTTTTTCATTGGCCCTACATTCCCTATCAAACCAAGACCATTGAACTCCTGACGTTCCTACTGGGTGTGTGATGGTCAGATGTAGTTTGAGTGCAAGAATTATGTTCTGATAGACTTTGCAAATGTTCTGAGTCCCAAAGAGAGCATGTTGCTATAGCTCTTTGAGTTTATTAGAGCTCAATATCTGCAAGAGAGCATGTTGCCGTAACTCTTTGAGTTTATTAGAGCTCAATATCTGCCTTATGTTAGCATCGGTTTTTATAGACCATGTAAGCCTTTTTGCACTTGATATGCTTCCACAGTTCAGGAATTCTGTGAGAAGAGACCACAAGATGCACTTTTCATTATGATTGTGTTTTTTTAAAAAAAGGGATAGTGACACTTGGCAGCCAGTGAGAAGTTTTTCAGAATGGCTTCAGTGGGAACATATAAGTATTTAAGGTAAGTACTAGGAATAGCCAAGTGCAAAGGTTCTCTGTGGAATGAGCACAGCCTATTATGTTTTAAATTAGCTCCTTGGAAGAAGAGGAGGAGATTAATGTGGTTGGGAGTACTGCCTTGATAGCTTAAACCATATTAAAAAAAATAGTAGGGAGAAACTTTGAATGCCACTTGCCACTACTGTATCTCTATGTGAAAAGGGACACTTCAAAGGGCAGATGCTATCCAGTGTATGCAGCCCCACCACATGATCAGGAATCATGATTTCCCAGGACTCTCAGTTACAGAGAGATCCCACTTAGGGCAGAAACTTTCTTCTTCATATGGTCTCTCTTCCCAGGGAGAAAGTGAAGGACAAGGAAATGCTCACCCTTTCAAATTAACTCAGTTTGAAAGCCTGAGTCAGGCTTAAGTAGTGCCTATTCAGCAGACACTAAGAAGGTGATTTCCCTTCATGGACTGCTGCCTTGTCGTGGCAAAGGGGCTTGAGTAATTCAGAGAAGCTATGCCATGCACAGACACCCAAGACGGACAGGTCATAGTGGAGAGTTCTGACTAAATGCGATCCGCCTGGAGCAAGAACTGGCAAGCCACTCCAGTATCCCTGCCAAGAAAACCCCATGAACAGAAACAAAAGGCTAAAAGATATGATGCTGGAAGATGAGCCCCTCAGGTTGGAAGGCATCCAACATGCTACTGAGGAAAAGCAGAGAACAAGTACAAGTAGCTCCATGGCTAATGAAGTGGATGGGCCAAAGCCAAAAGGACGCTCAGCTGCAGACGGGCCTCAAAGTGAAAGGAAAGTTCGATGCTGCAAAGAAAAATATTGCATAGGAACCTGGAATGTAAGATCTATAAGCTTTGGTAAGCTGGATGTGGTAAGCTGGTTATGCTCAAAATCCTACAAGGTAGGCTTCAGCAGTATGTGGACTGAGAACTTCCAGAAGTACAAGCTGGATTCCGAAGGGGCAGAGGAACTAGAGACCAAATTGCAAACATGCGGTGGATTATGAAGAAAGCCAGAGAGTTCCAGAAAAACATCTACTTCTGCTTCATTGACTATGCAAAAGCCTTTGACAGTGTGGACCACAGCAAACTATGGCAAGTCCTTAGAGAAATGGGAATGCCTGACCACCTTACCTATCTCCTGAGAAATCTATATGTGGGACAGGAAACAACAGTTAGAATTGGATATGGGACAACTGATTGGTTCAAAATTGGGAAAGGAGTATGAGAAGGCTGTATATTGTCCTCCTGCTTATTTAACTTTCAGACCATTTTAAACTCATCTACAGCTTACTACAATAATCCAAACAGGTTTGATTTGTACTTGCAGAAATAAATGAATGCAAGAAACTGGCTGGGGAGAAGCAGTTCTCAGAAATATAGGAATAAATGCAAGATAAAATTATTTTATAAACCAAATTCTCCTTTTCCAGGAGCAATCAGAATACATGGGTTTGGATTTATTCTCCCCGCTTCACTGGAACTTACTACAATATCCAATATCCATTATACTTCAGCAAGTGAAAAGTAAGGTTTGCTAATAAATATTTTGACTTCCATATAGAAGAACAGTCAATAAATTACCTGTGCTGCCTCCCAGCCCCACTGTCTGTATTTGGGATCATGGGTGAATCGCCACATATACCAATAGGTCTCAATCACCTCTGGTCTTAAAATGTAGTATTTTTCATTCTGTCGCACTGCTACTGCCTCAACACCGCCATCAAATTTGAAAGCTTCTGGACCCAATTTTAATGCTGTAGAGGAAAGAGGGAAGCATATCAATCTATCAAAAACTTCACAGAATGTCTGTATATATCAGATTCCCTGGTTAGTATATTATGTGTTTAGTTGTCACATATATTTTTGTCTTGTTCTTTCTTTTAAACATGGCCACTTTCTCTTTTAGCCACTGAATTATGAACAGTTGTAAAATAACACTGAGAAGATATTTAATGAGTGATGATGCTATGCAAAGAACATAAAAAATAGAGACTAGACCCACTGTCCAGAAAGTTTTATATCTGAATCCTTATTCTCAGTTTCCAGACATAATACAGAAGGAGTTTCAACACCATACAAGAACACAGAAGAAAGGATTTCGTATTTTACCCTGGCCATTTCTACAGATGGATTAGCAACAGCCTCATCCATGTATAGAATGAGTCAACCTGTTTATCTAGAAAACAAATCACACACATACACATCATGAACAGCCCACCTTTAACACTCAATTTCTCAGTGGGGTCTGGGGCAACATCAAAGGAACTGGATTGTACTCTTCTCTCCCTGCTACTTAATAAAGTCCTCCTTCCCAACAGTGGCACTTCACCCACTCAAAAAGGGGCAAAATCTTAGCTCAGGAACTACACTCCGTTTGGAGGCAAGAGATCCCTCTGTTCCCTTCTTCTTCCATATGTAACTCCAAAATCAAGGGAGGCGCTCTCAGCATTTTCATGTGGTACCATCTACTTCTACTTGCAATTGCCGGAGCTGAAGGCCAATTCTCACTGTCCCCAGCCATTTGATGTTCTGCTGGAAATGAAGGGAGTCACAGTTCCCCAAAGGAGACTAACATTAATACTGGGGATTCCTCCTTTCGTATTTGGAAGAACTGTGGGGGAAAGGGGGAAGGCCAGATATATATTTTTATATAACATTTCTATCCCTAACTCAAAATGTTTCTCCCGCCTGGCTATCACTGCAATGCATAAAACTGTAGGTTGATCTCTTCTTCTTACCCTTTCTGCACATATTAACATTTCTACTTTGCTAGACGCATCATAGGACCATTCTGCCAGGTGTGGCCAAAAGTGTGGCACTGCTTTGCAGCATTTAAGATTGGCAGAGCCACTTTTATAGTTCATTACAGAAACTTCTACAGAAGAAAGTAGGTCCATTACTCTCATTTTCTCCATATCAAAGAAGAAGGGAAGGAGGCTCAGAAACTTGACTATTTGCCTTCAATTATCTAGTAGGAGCAGAAAGCCCTGCCAAATTTCAGAACATTTCAAGGTAAATAAAAATTATTAAAAACAAAAAATTTTTTGACACAGAGCTTCCATTTAAAACACCCTAGTCTCAGACAAGTTAATGCATTTGATAAAAAAATACACTGCAATTTATATTCAATCTGGTAAAATAAAATTCATGGTCCTTAGTCACGCTGATTTTAAACTATTTTCCTAGAAAGGAGGAGCAAACTGAGTAATGAGTTTTGTTTTGTTTATTTATTCATTTAATTATTTAATTATTCATTTATTTCAGCTTTTACCCCGCTCATCTAGATTCTAAACAAATCTACTCTGGGCGGCTTACAGTCCGAGCAATATAAAACCAAGAATTAAGACAAACAATATCAAAACAAAAGAGAGAGATGAGCAAAGTCAAGAAACTAAGTGATGGAAGGGGCGAAGGCCTGCTTCTGATGAAGTGCTTATGACACAAAAGTTCTTGTGATGGTATATTTGCTAGTGTGCAGCCAAAGAACATGAATTTATTTCCTCTGTCAAAGAAAAATACACCTCTATCTTTTAACTACTAGAAATTTCTGTTAAAAAGTATTGTGCAATTGCAGTACAATGCTATACACATCAATCTACCGTGTTTCCCCAAAAATAAGACAGGGTCTTATATTAATTTTTGCTCCAAAAACACATTAGGGCTTATTTTCAGGGGATTTTTTTTTCCAAGTACAACCATCTACATTTATTCCAATACAGTCCTGTCATCTTCTTCTGGTTGCTGCACAAGGGTGGAGGTTGGGGTTTCACTTAACTGGGGCTTATTTTTGGGGTAGGGCTTATATTACGAGCATCCTGAAAAATCATACTAGGGCTTATTTTCAGGTTAGGTCTTATTTTCGGGGAAACAGGGCAGAAGTACATCCCACTGTGTTTTATAATGCTCATTCTTGCTTGCTCAGAGAGGTTCAGGACACCTGTTATTGTTCTACTGAACAGCCAGATCCAATGGCATACTTTCAATGGCTCCCATGGCTTCTACTAGAATTAGCAACTCTGTTTTGTTCCTGTGGCCTATATTGCATCCCAACGAGAGCAATTTACTGCTCTCACAATGCACCCTGGGCTGCACAAATCCCTTCACTTCGGGTGTACTGCTGGTTGTGATGCAAGGGGTCTGAGCCTTGTTAAAAATAAAAGAGCTGCTCCTGGGTGGTGGTCACCAAAAATTAGGGATACAGACTGCAGGCTCCCAAAATCAGCTGTCAGAAGCACAGGTGGCCTGCAAGATTGCTTCTCTTTGTTTACACCCTTCCCTTTCTTTTCTTGGACATGAAACTGCCCCCTGGTGCCCTGACATCCAACGTCTATTTTTCGGGGAAAACAAAAACAGGTAAGGATGCTTACTTGTCCTGTCATACGATTCATGACAGGTATGTGCAATCTCTGCACCCAGCTGAAGGTAGTGCCCAGCCTTATCATCTCGGGAACCATCTGCTCCAAGTGCAAACATTCCCCCAGCAAAGCATGTTAAATGCCCCATTTTTCTCTCAAGGTGCCCGTTTTTCCACTCTCCAATAAACGTTAGACCTCCGTTGGACTTCCTGATGAGATGCTTCTCTATGGCCTGCAGGAAGAAATCATGCCTGTCATGTAATAAAACCAAAGCACCTAGCTGCCATCATCCTTCTGTTCACATAAACAGAGGTAGCAAAAACACAGCTACAAATCAAGGAGTCACATTTTAATCACATGGGGGGACTGAGTGTAAGGGGCTGGTCAGAATTAATCTGGACATAGTGTTCGTCTATAGCAATGGTTCCCAAATTTGGGTAACTGTGGTGCCCCTGAACTGCAATTCCCAGAATCCTTCACCAATAGATATGTTGCCTGGGGTTTCTGGGAGTTGCAGTTGAAGAACACCTGGGTTACCCAAGGTTGGGAACCACTGCCCTAAAGTGGTGAAATGAACATGTATTAGCCCAGAGTATTTTGCACCCTTTCTCCCTAGTAGTCTGTTCCTGCTGAAGCAGATTTGATTCCATGCTCCTCTAAACCTTAAACTCCCTAAGTACACAGTCTTTTGATTCAAAGCCTCTTTGGGCCAATTGTACACACTCCTGTGCAGTTAAGATTAATTTGGGGCACATTTAAGCCTGCAGGTCAAAGAACTGGTTCCTGTTATATTGTAGCAGCTCGTTCAACGGCCAAGGAGTGCTCCAACACTGTAGTCTATATTGTTTATATACCCACCTCCTTAGTGCACAGCATCAAAGGTTATGTCTACCATAGTTCTTTCCCAGGTTGGTGCATCTATATGTTGAGAACTTTCATCCCTCGTTTAAAGTTGTTACTCTAATGGCCAGTTATTTTACTGTGATGAAACATTAATACATAAATGAATATTCCATAAATAATACCACTGGGTCAGGGGAAGTTGACCTTTTTTAATTTTACTGTGATTTCAGACATTTATTGTGAAAGGACCACAGCTCAAGAAGCATTGGATGGCATAAGACCAGTTCTATCCCTTGCTCTCAGAATACACTCGACTCCTCTTTATAAAACTCTAACTTGATAGTATTCATTTCGATGTGAATGTCAGAGGAGCTAGAAACAGATCAGTATTTTATTCACAACTTAAAGGTGAATGGCAAAATCTGGCAATGCTTCTTAAAAAAGAGAAGAGTGATCTCTGTTCTTGCCAAAGACCAAATGTTAATACTTGAAAATGATGTTTCTCTGGAGCTCTTTCGATCAGTCCCTATCTTTAACACTCCAACACTTACAAAACCGAAGAAAACCACAGCACTTCAAATCCAACAACTGGCCTGCTGGTACACGTTATTGCTGCGCACATGTTGAAAAACGGCCCTGACAGTTTGTTTTGTGTTTCGGTGAGAAGTGGTTGACTGAGGAAAAAGGGAGTCAGCCTCTGGGATTTTCCCTCATGTGGAGTCACTTTGTGGTAGTGAGCACAAGAAGGTACCCTGGGTAGACTGTCTTGACCGGTGTCAATGCTATTGTCAATAGTCAGGCCCGCCCTTTGCTAAAGCTTGGCATCCTCTTTCCTGCTGGCAATGCAGACATGATATTGTGCAGCAATATCAGGCAATTTCCTGGTTTTCTGAATCATGGGTACAGAAGCACAATGTTTCACATTCATAAAATAGACCTTTTTTTGAATTAAATTATACCTCCTGAACAACTAAAATGACTAACAAACTACAATGGTGCCTCACAAGACGAGCGCTTCGTTTTACGATGAAATCGCATAATGACAAAGTTTTTGCGATCGCAAACTGATGTTTTCTATGGGGTTTTTCACTTTGTGATGATCGGTCCCCTGCTTCGCTAACCGATTATCGCAAAACGATGATTTTAGAACAGCTGATCAGCGGTTTCAAAATGGCCACTGGGTAAAAAAAATGGCCGCCCACTGTTTTCTGGGATGGATTTCTCGCTGCATGGGCAGCGAAAATGGCCGCGCTATGGAGGATCTTTGCTGGATGGTGAGTTTCCAGCCCATAGGAACACATTAATCGGTTTTTAATGCGTTTCTATGGGCTTTTAAAAATCTCTTTACGATGTTTTCGTTCTACAGCGATTTCGCTGGAACGAATTAACATCGTACTGCGAGGCACCACTGTATTTGTCAGTCAGAACACTGGTACAATCCACAGTCAAAATTTACAATCCAGTTCTTAATACACTTGCAGCACAAACACAGTTGACTATTTTGCAGTAAAATACTGTGTGGAGTTTAATGCAGATTCTGAGAACTCTGATCCATCAAACCAAATGCAAACTATCAGGTAACTGATGTGGCCTAGAAAAGCCTGAGGTGTCTCCTTTTTTTCTACCTGCGTAAGACTGCAAACACAGCTGCAGTAGAGGGGATGGGCAATTGTTATCCAGCCCCTACTAGCCCACAATGCCTGGCTAGTGGTTTGTGTTCAATCTGGGGATCCTCACATTTCCACAGCAGTATCAAAGGCATCAATCAAGACCAAAACAATGTACTTGGCTACCCTGAAAAAGAGGTCAGCAGCAGAGGGTTTATTCAGGGAGAAAAATTCAATATTTGAATTGTTTAAGCGGGAGGAGGGAATCAATGCACTATAATCACCTCAATAGCATCATCATACATTTTCCTTGCCTCCACGTCCATTTTATCGGACATCAACCAGGCTTTCAGCAAGTATTCGTAGAAACTATCTCCCAAACCACCCATGGACGTGTGATCTGCAACAAAGAGAGGAAGACGGAGAAGGAGAAAAATAGTTTGTAAAAACAAGTACAAAAAAATATAGTGTTATAATCCATGCCAGCCACATATTTAATAGGGTTGGGCTTCTCCTTCAAGTTCTCATTTTCTTCTAACTTGTTTCCAAGAAGTAGTTTAAGTATTTGATTTATTGACCTTAAAGCCCACCAGTTTAAATCCATCTCTGTAAATTTCAGTGGTGAATTGCCGATAGTTAACAAGTCAGGCTAGGGATTTGGCATGACTTTGTGAGTATCAACAAACATCTACAATCCCTTTTTAAGCAGTGACAATTTGACGGTGAAATGTACAGTGGTGCCCCACATAGCAACGATAATCCATTCCGGAAAAATTGTCGCTATACGGATTCGTCGCTATGCAGAACAAAAAAGGCCATAGGAATGCATTAAAACACATTTAATGCGTTCCTATGGGCAAAAAACTCACCGTTCTGCGAAAATCCTCCATACGGCCGCCATTTTCGTTGCCTGGTAAGTGAGGAATGGGTGCGAAAACACAGTGGGCAGCCATTTTAATTACCCAGTGGCCATTTTGGAGTGCCGACCAGCTGATCTAAAAACATCGCTATGCGAAAATCGGTAAGCGAAACAGCTTACCGATCATCGCAAAGCGATGTTTTACCATTAAAAACATCGCAATGCGATCGCAAAAAATCATCACTATGCGGATTCTTCGTTAAACGAAGCACTCGTTAAGCGAGGCACCACTGTATTTAATAATCATGTGTCATCAAGTCAATTCTGACTTGCAACAAACTTTTCAGAGTTTTCTAGGTAAAGAGGACACAGAAACAAGGCTTTTCTCCAAGCTGGGAGAATGTACATGCGTGCTTCTGCTTCCCTCTGCACAGATGTCTTCCTCCTCTGTGCAGCAATCACATTAGATTCCAGTTGCAACACAACCTTGCATGGGGGGCAGAGTTGCGTGTGCAGGACAAAGTCGCGTGAGAGAGGTGCGGAGTCCCACTCAGTGGAGCTGAAAGTTAGAGAGTACATTGCTCAGAAATGGTTTAATATTCCCTTCTTGCAGGAGCACCTTGGGACTGTGCAACTTGCCCAAGGCCACAGAGGTTGGCTCTACCGGCGGAAGGCACTGTGCGGAAATTATTAGGAAGTCCCAGTCCTTCTCCTTTTTAAGATTTGTATCACCTCTCCTTGTTAATTCTTGATTTTCATCTCAATTACAAAATGAATTAATCATATCTTGCCAGTCTTTTAACTGGTTTAAATTAAGTTATCTTTATCAGTAATATCATACATTTTTAAAAAATTAGGTAAAACTTTCATTTTAAATACTGCTATTGTACAAAACTATGAAAATCCAATTTTCCTAAAATCATCTACCTTATTTTTTTTATTTCTTGCTTTTATTGTTTAAAATTCTTCTCTTTCAATCTTTCTCAATTCAGTGGAATATTTATAAATACTTAACAGACTTTCAAATATGAATATAAAATTCTTTTATAACTATTCCTTTTTATCTTTATTATAAGAAATTGTATTCTTTGATTTAAGCAAATTTATCTGCAACCCTGTTATTTCTCCAAATTCCTTTAAGTACATTTTAATATGTTTTCTATTATTAATAAAGTATTATTAGCAACTAATTTTAATTTTATCATTAGTACTAAAACCACAAAATAATTCATCTTCTCTAATTCATTAGCCATTCTATAACTAAAGCAAACAATACCAGAGAAAGGGGACATCCTTGTCTAGAACCATGGATATCTGTTCTGTCGTTCCAGTATTCTCTGAATTGATCTACTTTATTTACTTTTTTTAAACTTTTATTGGACTTTCACCCTGCCCCCCTAGACAAAGTCTACTCGGGGCGGCTTACACGAATAAAACAGAACAATATAACATACATAGTAAAATCCTACAAACATATTTCTATATACATTTTCAAGATGGAGTAGTTAAAGATAATAGAAACATCTATTGTATGTTTAAATCCTTCCTCAAAATCTAGTATTTTTATTATAATTTTTAATGTTGGTCATTCTACAAAATCAAATGCTTTGAAAATATCTAACAAAATTATTCCCGCCTTCTTCTTCAGTTTTCTTGTTAAATTTATTACATTTAACACCCTTCTTGTCAAATTAGTCTTCCTGTCATGAAACCACTTTGATCTTCTTTGATATATTTAGCAATAGAAGTAATTCATTTTCTCGTCTAATATTGATGTAAATATCTTAGCATCTTGATTTATTAAGTAAATGGCTCTATAAGCACCAGGATCAATTAGGTTCTTACTCATTTTTGGAATTAATATAATTAATGAAAGTTTCCAAGATAATAAAATCTTTTCACCTTTCATAATTTTATCAAAAAGATACCTGCAATCCCTCTTCACCTTGTATTTCCATCTCCATTTTATCAAAGTTTTATCCTAGTCTATTACATTCACAGCTAAATATATACTTAATAATTCTCTTAGGATAATCTATTAGAGCTTATTCTAACTCCCATATACCTCCTTATCCTCTTCACTGATTATAAAAGTTTATCTTTAAAAAAAAATCTCTAATTTAAACACTTTTTAAAGGGTAGATTTTGTAACCTAAAAGAACCTAAGTTCACATGTCTCCTTCATCTATTGCTCTTCTACTATCCTTCTCCACTGGGTTATGCTATTATGTAATTTATTCCCAACTGGATCTTCAGGTTAACCATCTGATCCTACTTACCTATTATAATCTATAAAACCAATCACCCTAATAACTAACTCTTGGTTAACTCTATTACTTGAAATCTACAAACGTAATGACAACCTATATTATATCAAAAAAGGTAAAAAAAAAAACCCACCCGATTTTGAATAGTTCACAAATG